CCTGGGAACGTGGTGAAGAACATGCGTTTGCGAGCCCAAGAGATCTGCACCAACACTTTGGGCATAAATGCAGAAATTCAATATCTGCGCCAAACATTTCCGATGAAAGGTAATCGAAGGAGGATTCTTGACGAAGAACGTTTGCACTCCAGCTCAGACTGAAAGTCGATCAGCTGATATAGACCAATGGTAACTTTATCGTTCATACTTCAGGAATTTCAACTCATCACGAAGTACCTTAATGGCATGCGGTTTAGTATCTACTACAAGAATGGCAGAACATCGGGCGACATTGTATTCAAAAATTACATGCCCATTAATAACCCTGGAGATATGTCAAATGTGACATACAAGGTTCATTGCAAGGACTGTACAAGGAGTACATTGGAAAGACCAACCAAACACTGAACATTTGGATGAAAGAGCACCTTGCTGCGGTCCGCCTTGGACAAGCTGACAATTCCGATATTGCCCAGCATGCAATTGCCGAAGGGCATTCTTTCAGTCTAACCAATGTGTCTGTTATAGACAATAAACAATCTAACCTAGCTCTACTGATAAACGAATCCTTGCATATACTAGCAATGAAAAACAGAATGTGCAACGAATACAGATCTTCCGTGTCGAACGCTGGGGGCGCAGTCAGAAAACTAATATGCGAATTCGGGTCAAAATGACAAAGATCCGAATTACTTTTATGCGAACATTACACTTTGTTGAGACAGCTTAACAACATTTTGACTGTATGATGAGCCAAATGAAAGTTGGAACTGTTCGCTTATCAGACATGGGTGCCTTTAAGAAATGATTTGTACTCAGTCCACTCCTGATGATGCTGCGATCTGTGCAGTTAAAAGCGCTGGCATTAAATTTTTTACTATCTACTGTATTTGGTGCCCAGAACCATGAATCGTTGAAGCAACTGTGTATATAACCATTGGCTCAGAATCAGAACCCTGAAGTATTATTGATTTATTTAGAATATAATTCTAGTCCATCTTTTCTTGATATCTTAATAATTGATTCTGATAAAATTTATCTATTTATGTTGATAAACA